AGGTGCGTTCTACATGGTCTCCCTGAAAACAAGACCAAGTTGCGACAACGAGGTCAACCCACTTCTATATGGGTATAGCTGACGTTTCCATTGAATTTCACATAACCTTGCTTTCCCTTATCCAGAGTGGACTGTAATTTCGACCTTGCCTAGGTCTTAACAACAGTCTCAGCGGGAGGCGAACCATGAGAGTCAAGTGTGTGGATTTGACACGTTAACCACTCAGCCACATTGGCACGAGTGAATTGGGGTCACAGGGCAGATGTGCATTTCATGAAATGCAAGGTTTTGTCCATATCGCATTCTTTCATCACCTTAGACGAAATAGGGTCAATACATCGCATATAACTAATTTACTGGTAGTCTCGAAACTCTATTTATATACGAAGAATAAGAAATCCCTTACTTGCAGGTAGAAATCATGAAGGGGCATTTTAATGCCCGATAGATTACTGGGCGACTGGGCCTGCCATAACGGACGTAGTATGTTGACTGAATGCAATAAATCAAGGCCTGCCGACATCCCGGCATCCTGGAGGCTGGGTAAGGGTGAAGAAAGAGCTGCAAGCACTGCCTGCAAGGTAGTTTCTAGGCCAGCTGGTGACAAGTGGAAGAGACGTGGTGAAATTACGGCAGGGGCAGCGACAGAAGGGGCCGTGGGAACAAAATTATTACATGCACCTCCTGAGGAAGTGACGGAAGAAGCAGAAGCACCATTTAAAGCAGGTGTAATCGCTAGCACCTCTGTGCTATCGCACGATTCTTTACGCGGCCGAACCCGGCTGGTGATTGGAATTAAACGAGATAATATTTGGGGAGTGAGAGTTGAGTTGCTGACATTAACGTCGAAAATGCCAATGGTAGATTTTGTCTGGAGGGATTGGTCATCCGATCGACTGCCGTCATCAGACACGACACAAACAGGTGATGAAGAGGTTAGCAATGCCATCTTTTGAGAAGCCGTTGTATTATTGGCAGAAGAAGAGTGGAGAGAGTGCGGAATCGCTGGTAGGTGTGTGCTTGCTTCTAGAACAGCGCAGCATTTCCCAAGGCCAAGAGTTAGCCAGATGTGGACGGGAGCCTCCAGGTCACCAAGAGGAAGGAAGTACTCACGAACTGGCAAAATTACAAATATAAAGGTAAATGGAGAGTTAATATCGTCATAACCATTAGTATATCTAAGCAGCTGGTTTATCGTCAGACTCTTAGATATGAGTACCAAGATGGTGTGATCTTTTGTTTAGTTGCAAGCTTCTTTAAGTGTGACCTGATTTTCACAACTAAGTCAGGGTAATAGGGAAACCTTATGGAACGTACCTAGTCATGTGTCCTCTGCCATAGCATTTATGATTTCCAGCATCGAACCCTTAACTTGGCACATTCCGACGTTTAGTCAGTTGTGGGCTACGTGGGTTAGTAACCTCCCTACTCAAGCAAATGTGCAATCGCCTCTCCCTAAATACACAAGCACGAAGAATGCACACAAGCACAAACGCACACAAACGCTGAGAACCCAATTATAATGCGTTCCCCAGATATTTAGCTTAGCATCTCTATCGGTGTATAATTTGCATGTTCCATTCCTTTAAATTCCTATTCCACAGGTGGACCCAAACAAGTAACTTTTCAAGCTGATTCCATGTGACTACTTTCACTGTAATCGCCTTTCCTAAACTTTCCTGCCCAATATGATTCTCTTCTGAGGACAATCAGTACAAGGACCAAAAAACAAAAGCGGTTATGCAGAAAAGTGGATATGGAAATATCAGAGATAGCTAAACACATTGGCCTTACCGGAATTAGATGGTAAAACAATGTGCTGGGATTGATGAACCAACGGTCAAAAATAAAATTGATCAAGGAGATTGCCTTCACCCGTCAATAAATTGTAACTATGTGCAAACGATGGCGCCTCTCACTGAAGCTGTCGGCAAAACGCCAACGCTTCGATTCTAGAAATCATGAGTACTATAGCAGAGGACGCAGGACTGGGTGTGCATGATTGAGTCTTGATATTCTCAGCATAAAGCCACAAATCGTGAAAGGGACATGTTAAATCAATCCCTTTACTGCCGAACATCTATGCCGTCACTCCTTGCTCCTCTCCCTCTCGATTTGCTCATCCGATTTGAGGCTTCTATCCGAATCTCCCTCGCGACCCCGTAGGTCCATTTTTTTATTTTTATGGTTGAAGGATTTCACTCGGTTCCAGTCCCGGAGTGCGCTTTATTCCAGGTGCCTTCAATAGCAGCTACATTCGCTTCATCGAACATCGCACCCACGCTCTGATTCCCATGCTCGAAGATATCAAGTATTATCCTCATCTCCTTGATTCAACCCATGTACCTTGAGGAAACTGTGGAAGTCGTCTATATCTAGTCGCTTGCAGCACCTTAAGTGGAACTCGTCAATTATGATATAATAACGAATTTCTGTGATGGTCGTGATTATCCTTTCAAAAGTTCCTGTGACCGAAAGGCATCAAAAGTTGTAGTTGTTTCTTCGAAAAGACTATACTCACTTATAATGTCTTCGCTTGATCCCAAAATGTTCCATGTCCACTTCATACATGAGATTCGGATTAACGATAGGTCCTTGTTCCATGATAATATTTTTTTGCTTATGTTGTTGTATCCGTCTTCTCAGAATTTGCTTAGACAATATGCTAAGTTATCGTTATCTCTACCTTATTTCAAACTCATGTTAAATAATTTTTTTCCCCAAGGATTTAAATGGCCTACCTAATCTTCAGTTTCTTTCTGATGTCCTTCAATTGATCTCGTGTCCAGGATGCCCGATGTGAAGCGCTATTTCTGGTGTGTCGGTAACCTTTTTCTGCAGAGCCTTTGATGTTTCTTGATTCGTATGCTGATTTTTTTCTTTGATTCGCCAATATATTTCTGTTCGCAGACCCCACATATTATGTAGTAAACTCCCGAGTAATCACATTTGTCCACTTTCGTATCTTGCGTAAGTAGACTTGTGAAGAGTGTTATCTTTTTCTTCGTGGTCACCTGAATATTCAATTTGCATAGTATTGGCCGTAGTTTTTGAGTTAGTTTGCATTATGGTAGGCATATCCACTTTTGTGAATATTTTACATTCTTACCTTTACCTCATAATCCCCTTCCTGTTATTGACTTTTTCACTGCCCGTAGATTTCTTTCCATTAATTCTCTCGGGTATCCCTAGCCGGGGAATATCCTAGTCAAATTGTCCAATTCTTCATCCCAGAATAATATGTCCGTCAATCATAGGTCTCTAATGATTATGCTCCTCATTATTCCTATCTTAAGCCCGTAGTTGTGTTGGGATTGGAAATTGAGTATTATTCCAGCAGATTACTTCTTTCTTAACAATTTACGTTCAAGCGTCCCATTAAAGCGAATTATTTCTACATCCAGGAAAGTTAATCCCTCCCATTCCCTCACTTCCACTGTGAATTAGATTCTTTCATCAGTCTGGTTTATAAACTTCAGGAAATCCTGCAGTTTATCTCCTCGATACGACCAAAATTTGAAGTAGCTGTCCAAGTACCGCATGAATACTCTTGGTTGCTGCGATTAAATTTTCTTCTAATTCGTTCGTGCATACCTTGCCAAAATAATTGAGCCGCTATACCATAGGAAGTCCAAATATTTGCTCATAGATGCTACCGTATAATTTGAAGTTGGTTGTCCTTATTGTCAAGTTGACTAGTCGTGTTAACAACCTCCTCCTGACCCTTTCTGCATCCAATATATCCTCCTCTCAGTCCAAGATCTCCAGCAGAGCCATAAGCGCCTTTTCTCCAGAGATGCTTGTATTTTGTCTCTTCTTCTAACGTGTAGAAGATATTCATGACCTCAATCAGAACGTTTCTTTCATTTCAAAGAAAAAAGTTTAGCTCCTTTTTCAGGATCGTAGGGGCTTTAGGATCAAGAAATAATAAGGATGAATTCATCACTCTATCCCGATCGTCGTAATCATTAATTGGAGTTGTCGCCTCAGAGATCACATCAACTGGGCGCGCTGACCTTACTTTATGCTGCTTTATAATCCCATACTAAGGTAACTTTTCATTGCGTTCCATTAACTCAGAGATCCTATATGATTACTTGTCAGCAAGACTCAGGAATTTTTTGAAAGTCTTCCGGAGCCTCACTTGCAGTAGTAATGCTATAAGATAAGAAGGCAGGTAGTCACTAATCTACGAATTGTCTATACGTAGGTTTTTGAGTCTACCAGTATGTGAGATGTATTCACCCTATTCCGTTAGAGTTTCGAATCACGCTGAGGATGCTGAGGAAACCAAGACGAGGTCGAAACTGCAGTCCCCCATTGATGAAAGTACCTTTTAGAAAGTGAAGCTATGTAAAATCTAATGGAAACCTAGGGCCTATACATAAAATTTTGGGAAAAATTAACTTTCAGTCCTTCATTCTCTTAACGAAACAGAGGTAATACATCCCATGTGCTAGTTCATGAAGCCTTATTTTAGGGACCACTATAAAAATTTGCTTTACCAAGCTCGATCAAAAGTTAGTAAAGAAACAGAAAGCAAGGCAAATACTAAGAGGAAAAGAAATAGATAAGGTCGCAGGTGAAAATAAAGCTTATAATGAATTACACAGGGATTGGTGAAAATGCAAATGCGCCTATTTAGAAACAGAGTTTAAACATTGCTTTTGTCGTAGCGCATAAGATAAAAGTGAAAGATCGGATAAAATATAATTTTTAAAATTATGCTGCTGAAAATAACCCATTAGCAATGAAGAGAAAGGAAGACGCGAACAAAGATACTAGACAAATCACAAATTTATCAGGATAAGGCCATAAATGAAGAAGAAAAATTGCCGAAGATCATCCATACCAGTGTGAAGACAGCATGATAGCCAGGCAAATTGTTCGCGTGTGGTAAAAAGGTCAGCAAGAATAACAGCCGACCTAACCAACTCAGTGAGAACCGCCAAACTAA